AGAGAGATTAAAGAAACACGGATCGCAAGAATAAAACCTTGGATTCTAAGAACTATTGATCTGTTGCAGCCACAGAAAACTTCTTGGTGCTTCTTTCATAATCAAGCAATCACAGATATAAAATATTTGAAGTGGTAACCAATTAAATTTAAAGATATGAAAATAAAGAATGAAACTATGTTTATTCTATAATCTTGTGGCAGATTTTCTTGACATGCTGTGGCCAGAAAATATCCAGCAATTTGATATTAACTAAAATATAGCCTACCCATGACAGTGGTGTCTCAGTCATTTTCAAACTACTCCTCTTTTGATCATACATCGTTTAGTTAGTGAAATTTTAGAAATTGGGACGGACTGACAACTTCAGCGCATGTGGATCAAAATTTACACGTAGTGAATTATTTACATTGTTCAAACTGTTGTAATTATCTTTATTGCTATATTCCCGACATTTCGACCGTTGTACGCTTCGGCCTTCTTCAGGTGATATTTTTGGAATTTCGGACCGAACCTTTCTAATTCCACGTGCCATGCCTTTTTGGATATCTCCTTTTTAGTTAGTTCCACTTGATAGAGAACAAAGACTTTTAGAGAGTTGAGTTATCAACAAATACCACCTGAAGAAGGCCAGAGTTTTACAATGGTCGAAACGTCGTGAGTATGTAAATAAAGTTGAGAAAACAGTTCGAACAATATCAATATTGTAAATAAATATCTCAGATATACAGGCAGGTTTGGTTTGGTTTGATTTGTTTTACGGCATATAAACCTCAATGGGTCATTTAATGCCGACAACTTTTTTTCCTGATAATATTTTTGTTTTGTCAAAAATCTATTTCTGTTAATATTTTTTTCCTCAAAATTGTATTGCTGGTAATATTTTTTATTTTTCAAAAATGTATTGCTGGTAATATTTTTTCTTCAAAAATTTACTTCTGGTAATATTTTTTTACAAAGTATTTCTGATATTAAAACCTATTTTTACACTTTCATAATGTTTTTTTTTACATCAGTTTCGGGGTCAACTATTTGCCCATAGCTGGAACCCTAACAGGTGCTACCACCCTGGGTCAGGGTGGACCTGGGAACACCAGCAATTAATAGGCGTATTTACTCTCCTCAAAGCCTCCTGATCAGAGGCCTTGCTGTTGGACGTAGTTTACCGTCTTACCTGGACGCGGATGTAGTTTATCGTCATACCCAGGACGGTATACAGACAGTCGTAATGATTTGCCTGAGGAGATGTCTAAAACTATTTTCTACGTCTTTACCTGGTAAGCATACTACCGCGCCGTTGGGCTTTGCAAACAAAATGGCTGAATGGTTTCGTATTGTTTTTGACTACCAATCATAACAACGCCAGATCTAATGGCTGTATCGGTTGATGATGTATGATTCATCATCTTGTTTCGTTAATGTTCATGTTTAACGATACATAAGGGAAAAAGTCGGGAGTGATAATATCGGGGATCAATACAAACCTGTGTATGACTTCTGGTTTGATAGTACCATTTCTTGTCAGCAGCAGGCGTGTCATATGTTTGTATATGGGTTTTTTTCCTATTTTGACTTGTCACTTGGGCTTTGTTTATTGTCGTCAGATAATGACTCAAACTTACAGATCAATATTTGATGTGACATCCATTCAGTGCTGATAAATTTCAGTTGATTTTCAATATTCATGCCGTAATAGCGGCAAGAACAGTTGCTGTTTATCTATGCGAAACCTACTGGCATGATTCTAGTCTCCAGCTGCGACAGTATTACCCGAATCTATTCAGATAACACCACGTCCTCTAAGCATTTATCGTCCTGTTAACCAACCACAAATAATACCTGACAATTTCTTCTGAGCCCTTAAGCGGGCATAAGGCACGGAATATAACAGATCATAAGCTTTAACTGTAACAGCGTAAAAAGGAAAATGACGTTAGAGACATAGAAAAAATGTTGACTGTCGTGTAATATTACTCCATCTATAGGAAAGTGAATTCTGGATTATCTCTTTAGAGATGAAAATGACACGATGTGGTTCTACAGATGGGTGCTAAGAATATGATAGTGAATGTGAGAAAAGAGAAAGTTTTAAGGGAAAAATATACAAAGGGTCAATTGAAATTATTGGGATACATAAGGAAATGAGGTCTTGGAGAATTTGACACTTACAGGACATATTGAAGACAAGAACGACAAAAGTGAATAGAGAGTCACCTACGAAAGAAGAGCTTGTGTACATAGATGGGAGAATAGAGAGAATAAAGGAATAAATATTGTTAAGAGCTATAAAGGGTAGAAGATTGTGGAGACTTATGTTCACATATGTCCTGAAAGAACACGGTACATTAAAGAAAAATCAAGAGGAATGGGAAGATTGGGTTGTTATAGGAGAGTTTTTCACTCAGCTAAACCTTATGCTTTGTTTCATTTCAACTATTTCGCCCCCACCCCGCATTCTATGACTTTCCTAATGTATCCAATTTTCTGAGACGAAATATTTAGTGCCTTAATTGTTCCAGTTCGTACTTTCATCATTATTTTTCTCAACCGGAGTTTTTCTTGGATGGATTCGAAACGGCCAATGATATTGCGTATTTTGATTTCGAGGAGGGAAACATGAAGAACGATTTATTAATTCCGGTATCGGTTTGTTTATTGCATGTCATTGGCTTTGGAAAATAAAATGACAAGATTTTCTTTTTTCAAAATCGGTTGATTATCTCCTAGAATATGGTGATTAGGCCTTAACGCCCAGAGCCTTGAAACGCAGCGAAAAACGACTTTTTCTCCTTTACTCATCGCTTTATATGCATTTCACGTTAAACATTCATTCATGGGGCAAGTGTAAATAGTTTGTCTTCTTTTGATCACGTATGTCACTGAGGGTCCTTTGAATTCATAATTCATGTCTTTTTCAACTCACGTTGTATTGATACTATTGTTATCTAAAGTTTTAAGATCAAATATTGCCATTAATCCATGGATTATTCGGAATAGTATTATCATCTGTGTTGTTTTATTAGACTGTTTCGTTGAGGTGCATTTTACCATTCATCCTGTCTAATACCATTTTCATTGAGGCTTCATTGATAAATTTCCTATCTATGTTACTATTAAGCGAAGCGTAATAGTTGGGTACTTTCGAAAGGAATAGACCAGTGCAGAATATACAGTCAATAAAGTCAGGATAACTCAGTTTTTCTAGAATTGGGCTACACTTGTACAATTTCAACTACAACTATATTTTCAACGCTATTGTTGGCGTTTGAGTATGCTGCTGTGCTCAGACATTCTTTGATTAGATTTTATGTCTTTCTTTCTTTCTTTCTTTCTTTTCTTTCTTTCTTTCTTTCTTTTCTTTCTTTCTTTCTTTCTTCTTTCTTTTCTTTCTTCTTTCTTTTCTTTCTTTCTTTCTTTCTTCTCAATTATGTTTAGATTTTTTTCAATTATTTGTTTAGATTTTTTCTTTCCAAATCATGTTTAAATTTTCTTTCTTCATCACTTATCTGTTTAGATTTTTCTTTCTTTCTTTCTTTCTTTCTTTCTTTCCTTCCTTCTTTCTTTTCTTTCTTTCTTTTTTCTCAATTATGTTTAGATTTTGTTCCTTTTTCAATTATTAGTTTAGATTTTTTCTTTCCAAATCATGTTTAATTTTTCTTTTTTTAGCATTTATCTGTTTAGATTTTTCTTTCTTTCTATCTTTTTTCTTTCTTTTTATCTTTCTTTTTTTCTTTCTATCTTTTCTTTTTCTTTCTTTCTTTTAACTTACTTACCTTCCTCTCTTATTTACTTCAGGTGTAAAAATAGCCTCAACCACACTGAAAGCAAACGATCATTTCTGCATCGCGTCTCCCCGCTACACACAGCTACGTTCAATTGCCAAACAAACAAACAAGATTAATTTACATTTCCTTAGACATATTTTCTCAGAACACAAACCCACCTCGTCGCTTTTTTCAGACAATTGTCACAAGTCTTTTTTATCCACTGTATTTTTTGTCTTTCGTTGTTTCTGAGTTTTCTATCTTTTTGATTGTGCTTCTATTTGGAAATTAATTGCCATTCCAAACGATCTGATGACAGTTCAGGTTACCGTTTGCAAAGACCAGCGTCGCCCCAGCGGCGGCATTTATTGGCAGTTTGCATTGTCGGCTCGACTAACATATTAACAGTATCAAATGGCTGCAATTACTTGTAGGTGGAAGTGTGCTAATGTACATGTTAGCATGAGGTTTATCAAATACAAACAGAGAGAAAGGGAAGTTAAGGAGGGCAGGCATGAAAGATAGAAAGAGAGAGAGAGGGGGAAGTGAGTAAAATTAGGGAGAGAAAGGAAGAAAAAGAGATAGTAAGATAAAAGTAGGGTAGAAAAAGAAAGAATAGAAAAAAGAAAGAAAGAAAAAAGAATTACATTAAAAGCGAGAAAGAAGACAAGAAAAAAGAAAAAGGCAGAAAAAAATTCTGAAGAAAGGAAGAAAATAAAAAGGGCAAGAGAGGAGAAAAGTCAATAATAAAGAATTATAAAGGAAAAAGAAAGAAAGAAAGAAAGAAAGAAAGAAAGAAAGAAAGAAAAGAAAAGAAAGAAAAGAAAGAAAAAGAAAGAAAGAAAAGAAAGAAAAAGAAAAGAAAAAGAAGAAAGAAAGAAAGAAAAGAAAAGAAGAAAGAAAGAAAGAAAGAAAGAAAGAAAGAAAAGAAAAGAAGAAAGAAAGAAAGAAAGAAAGAAAGAAAGAAAGAAAAGAAAAAGAAGAAAGAAAGAAAGAAAGAAAGAAAAGAAAAAGAAGAAAGAAAGAAAGAAAGAAAGAAAGAAGGAAAGAAAGAAAGAAAAGAAAAAGAAGAAAGAAAGAAAGAAAGGATAAAAAAAACGAAATAAAAAAAAAAGAATGATTTGCAGAAAGAAAGAAAGAAAGAAAGAAAAAGAAAGAAAAAGAAAGAAAGAAAGAAAGAAAAAGAAGAAAGAAAGAATGTAGGAAAAAGAATTTAAAAAGACCGAAAAGAAAGAATCAAAGAAAAAAAGACAAAAAGAAATTTAAGAAAAAAACAAGAGAAAGAAAGGAAGAATAAACGAAATACCACAAAAAGCTGCATTCGCAGAAAGAAAGAAAGAAAGAAAGAAAGAAAGAAAGAAAGAAAGAAAGAAAAGAAAAAGAAGAAAGAAAGAATGTAGGAAAAAAGAATTGGAAGACCGAAAAAGAAAGAATCAAAGAAAAAAGACAAAAAGAAATTGTAAGACAAAACAAGAGAAAGAAAGGAAGAATAAACGAAATACCACAAAAAGCTGCATTCGCAGAAAGAAAGAAAGAAAGAAAGAAAGAAAGAAATGAAGAAAGAAAGAAATGAAGAAAGAAAGAAAGAAATGAAGAAAGAAAGAAAGAAAGAAAGAAAGAAAGAAAGAAAGAAAGAAAGAAATGAAGAAAGAACGAAAGAAAGAAAGAAAGAAATGAAGAAAGAACGAAAGAAAGAAAGAAAGAAATGAAGAAAGAAAGAAAGAAAGAAATGAAGAAAGAAATGAAGAAAGAAAGAAATGAAGAAAGAAAGAAAGAAATGAAGAAAGAACGAAAAAAAGAAAAAAAAGAAAGAAAAAGAAATGAAGAAAGAAATGAAGAAAAAAAAGAAAGAAAGAAAAAAAAAAAGAAAGAAAGAAAGAAATGAAGAAAGAAAGAAAGAAATGAAGAAAGAAAGAAAGAAATGAAGAAAGAACGAAAGAAAGAAAGAAAGAAATGAAGAAAGAAATGAAGAAAGAAAGAAAGAAAGAAAGAAATGAAGAAAGAAATGAAGAAAGAAAGAAAGAAAGAAATGAAGAAAGAAATGAAGAAAGAAAGAAATGAAGAAAGAAAGAAAGAAATGAAGAAAGAACGAAAGAAAGAAAGAAAGAAATGAAGAAAGAAAGAAAGAAAGAAAGAGAGATAGAGGGAAAGAAAGAGAGATAGAGAATGAATGAATGAGAGAAAGAAAGATGAAAAGAATGCTACATAGAAGAAAGCCTTTCAGATAAATAATTCGTAAACTAATTGAATATCAATGGCGTACGGTAATAATGTGCATTCGTTCAAATGTTTTTGTGTGGAACAAAAATCTCTTTTAGAAACGGTCAGAATCTTCAGTCCGAATGAGGGAATGGAAGTTGCCATTGAAATCTGTGCCACGATGTTAATGAATAAGAGGAAAATAGAAACAATATAAGAAGGAATTGAGTTCTTCTTACAAGAATTAACGTGGACGCTGAGCAAAAAGTATCACAACGAACAGTTTGATATTTTATAAATAGATACCATCAAGGAAAAGAGGAAGAAAAAGAAAGCAAATGAGAAAAGAAAGAATAGGAGAGTCTTAACGCCAAATACCTAATTAGAATTACGATTACCCGGTCTGTTTCTAGTGTGAAATATTCTGAACCATTCTTGAACTAGACAAGAATGGAAATGAAAATGTGGTTCATAAAACAAGAAAACTAATTCTATTGCATAAGGCGCTACATTTTATAGACAATGTCGACAGATTGTATGTTAAAAGAAGAAGGGGTGGACGGGTCACATTAAGGGTTACGTCGACTCCGCGAACAGGGGCCTCGTAGAATATACGAGACAGAGAAAAGAAAGACAGTTTACAAAACTACATGAAAATGAACAGAAATCCGGGAAACCCAGGAAGAATTCATAAATGGGAAAAAGACAATTGGATAGAAACTTCAAAAGACAACTCGAAGTAATGACATCGAAATCTACATTGGCATGACTACACAAGACAACGACATAAGAAATATGTAGGGAAATATAGACTGTGTAATGATGAGATGATGAAACACATAATCAACGAATGTAGGCAAATGGCAGCGAAAGAATACAAAAATAAGCATGAGTGGGAAAGTTGATTCATTAGGAACACTGCAATTTTTCTCAATGATCAATGCATAGGCATGAATCTTCCTAGAGAATTATGTACATAAAATCATTCCTCATTTGACATTCATAAGGATTATCGTGTCCTGAACAGAAGACCGGATGTAGTAGTAAATAAAGAAGAAATAAATTTCTCAGTTCCGATTTACAATATAGGAGATATGAAAAAAAGAGAAATGTATATTGGCCGTGCCAGGGAGCAGTGTAAGCTGTCGAACACGAAGGTGCCAATTATTATCTAAGAACAGTCTCGAAGAGATGAGAAAAATAACACTGGCAGAACTGGAAATTAAATGTTTGAATTATCCAGACAAAATGAAGAAAGATAATTGTATGAACATTTCAGAGGACATCTCGTAGTTACATGAATATGGCTACAAAGAGGACACCTTAAAAGAGAAACTGATTCGCTTTTAACAGCATAAGAATCAATCAAATGAAGATATTAGTGAAAACAGCTAAGATATTGAGGAGAGTGTAGGACTCTAAGGAGACCTTCTATCGCATCAGCTCCAGGGAACACCACACGTTCCTTCTGCTATAGACAGTCAATGACTTGTGCCTCACTTCGCTTTTTTCGCACGCTGTCAAGCCATGCCAATAACTAATAAATAATGGACTAGTCCACGTTTGTTTTTTTGTTTTTCGTGGAAAGAGGGGAAAAGACATTACTTGGTTTCAGTGAGAAAGGGAAGACAGAAGTGAAGAGAAAGAATAAGAGCTAGCTCATAAGAACATATACTACACTTTGATCTCAGCCAATAGGCTGAAAAACAGGTGCGCTCACGTTGCTACCTCATGTGACACAAGGTCATTTAAAAGTGGGTTTTACCGCAATATCGTGGAAAATCTGCTCAAGTCCTTTCGGCATTTCACCTTTAGGGGACATTTCAAGTGTCGAGTAATAAACTCACCCCGTCCTGAAGGAGAGATATTGCCTGGGCGTAAGGGCCGCTAGTGTTTGGCCATAATATTATTTGAACCTCTCCAAGGCAAAAGGCCGACCATTAATGGTGAGCGCGATAAAGTGTCATTTTTCAGACGTACACTATCGAACAATAGAAACCGAGCAAGGCAATCACCAAAAAATACCATAAAGTAAATAAAATAACATCATCTGATGAATTATTTTAAAATTATTATTAAGAGAAATGTTTGCAAGTCGGGGATTTACCTAGAAAAGGAAGATAAGTGTTTAACCTCTCCCGCCAGCAACATGGATAATTGAACTATTACGCGTTTTGATCTTGAGGAAATAGGGAAGAAGACGCTACTTGGTTTCAGTGAAAAAATGAATGAAAGGAAGAACTGAAGATTTTAACAACTGTTTCAGAGAAATGTAAAAGGTTGTTATTTTCAAATATTTTCATTTGTACCCCCTTACTTCTTAAAATAACGACCAGCATTCATATTTATGATTTTTATTGCAATATTTTGTTAAAGTTGTTAAGCTTAAATGTTTAACAATATGATAGGGGGATTTCTACGGATATTTTATTGTCACAGAAGGCGCCATGAGTTTATTCAATCATTAACTGAAGAATTAAAATTCATTATAAATTTTGAATAGGAAAACTGTGAAATTATCACTGGTCTTTCTAGTCTTGTTAAAGTTGTTAATCTCAAATATTTAATGATGCGATAGGGGAATTTCTACGGATATTTTGTTGTAGAACTCGCCATGAGTTTTTTCAATCATTAACTGAAGAATTATTCATCATAAATTTTAAATAGGACAATCGTGAAATTTTCACGGGGCTTTCTTGTAGTAGTAGTAGTAGTAGTAGTAGCAGCAGTAATAATAATTGTGGAGGTTGTTTTGCCTGCCTGAGCATTACAAGGTGAAAATTTTGAAAAATACTGTTACAATGGAGAGTGAAGTGGTACCCATAAACATCAGCGCACATGGAATCTTGTCAAAAAGACTTGAAACAAGATTGGATTAATTTGGAAATTCGAGAAAAAAATGATCTTACCGCGGCTATCTGTGAATGCACGGAGAAAATAACAATAAAAACAACGAAAAGATAATATTCACTGGATACTTTAGGAGATTTGCTGCCGTTACAAGAATTTAATGTGACCATTCAAATGCTTGAAGTGTAATCTTGTGTTTGTAGACTGCCGCCCAAAGCAGTAACGAGGATATAGAACGTTACGAAAAGATAAGATGTACAATGAATAAAAGAGAGAGAGAGAGAGAGAGAGAAGGAGAAAGAGAGGTGGGGAGGGAAGTCTTTAGTATCGAAGATTGCGTCCATTCCGTTCAGTAGGGACGTCAGGACTACTCTAATATGGAGGATGAAGACGACAATTGTTCCCGCCATTATTTGCACTCACGGAACAATTTCAAAGATGGTGGCAAAAACGCCGTATGATGTAAAACCATAAAGACATCAGCTTTACAAATATTAACAAGGATACCGAGCAGGTGTCGAGAGCATTTCAAGATCTCCAGTGAAAGCCACGAGTTACTTCTGATTTACAAACTGAATATTTTCAAACAATGATAAAAGTGCAAAATATTTGATAATCGCTTCTAAAGTGAAAAAACAAAAAAACATTGCCATTTTGTAATGAAAGAAAAAGAATAGGAAGAAAAAAAGAAGAAAAAAAAAGAAGAAAAAAAGAAGAAGAAAAAAAGAAGAAGAAGAATATGGGAAGGAAAAAAAAAAGGACAAAGTTGCAGAAGAATAATTAAATTTCGAAACAATTGAAGAATTTTCTATTTTAAAAATTTCCAATTTGGGAATTGCGACCAATTTGTTTCGAAAAACGGAAATTACGAAAAATTAAAAACTAGAAAATTATCATTCCTCCTCCTCCACCACCTCCTCCACCTTTCCCTCATCCCCCTTCTCCTCCCCTTCCTCATCGCCGTCAACATCATCATCATCCTTATAATGAGGATCGCGGTAATGAATATGTTTTTAAATCATTATCCTCTTGATGATGATGATGATGATGATGATGATGATGATGATGATGATAACGTTAGTGAAGAAGAAACATGAGAGCCATAATAGAAAGAAATGAATCGAAATAGATAGATAGATAGATATGAACAGACCAGGATAGATAGATAGATAGATAGATAGATAGATAGATAGATAGATAGATAGATAGAATAGATGAGATGAACAGATAGATAGATAGATAGATAAGATAGATAGAATAGATAGATAGATAGATAGATAGATAGATATTTTCATGGTATATTTTTGCTAACCCCAATGCGAATCTTTGACAAAAGCCTGAGATTCAAATTTAAACTTGAATTAGATATCTGGAATGGCTAATAACACATATGTAAAAAGAAAGAAAGATGTAGACCAAAACACACACACGCACACACACACACACACAGAAAAATCCTCTGTGTATGTGTGTGTGTGTGTATCTTATGAAAGTCATGAGCAAAAAAGAAAAGAAAAAGAATAAAACCGATAAATCAAATATTGCAAAATATATTTGTTGACAAAAGAGTGCATACAGCGCGTTCAAGAATCAGGTCAAAATAATCGTGACTTAGAGTAGAACCATTTTATTTAGAAAACGTTATGCCTTTACAGAGACCAAAAAGGAGTCTATAAGTAATCTGAGTGCGTAATTCTTCTTTTATGTGCCGTGTCCCTTCAGGACATAGGCGATCATGGCTCTCCCCTTATCGCTTGTAGCTCTCAATAAGTTTTGGCCATTTGCTACTTCCCCCACCCCCAGGCCATGTCTTGTCATCTACTTGCTTAAGCCTGCCAAGTATGTCATGCGTTCCTTTCTCTTGTCTCTCTTTCCCTCTATTCTCCTTGTGAGTATCTGATTCACTAAGCCCTCCTTTCTCATTACGTGTCCCAGAAATTTCAGCTACCTCTTTCTAATGTTAAGTATAAGCTTCCTCCTAGTTTGTATCCTCTCCAAAACCTCATCGTTACTCACACGCTCGGTCCATGGTATCCTTAGCATCCTTCTGTAGGACCATACCCCCGTTGCCTCGACTCTCTTCTTCATCTTGGAGGAGACCGTTCAACATTCGCTGCTGTAAAAAAGGATAGATATCTCGTAGATGTTCAGTACTCTTTTCTTTGTTACCAACGAAAGTTCACTGCGGAGCGATCTCTGATCTTCAGGGCCTTCCATATATACATCAACACATACAAATAAACAAACGTGTCTGTGAATGCATGCGTACGCCTTGACTGTGTTGGATGTCTCAATCTCGTTTGGGATATTCTCGTATAAGTGCGAGACGTCAATTCTCGGATTAAGTTTACCTTTTTAAAAATCGAAACAAATATACTGAAACTTATGCATATACAGGGTGTCCATAAAATTCGGGTGCACTTTAAAAAATTTATAACTTTATTTGTTTTTGCGATAGAAATAATCTGTAAAAAGGATTAGAAAGAAGTAAATCTATGTTTTCTAAGGTTTTATTGAAATTTTATTTAAGTTTCCACATGTCCTCCATCGTTAGCAATACAAAGGGTAATACGATTTTGCAGTTCACGGAAAAAATTGCCAACTGATTTACAGTAATGCCTGAAATCACATTAGTTATTTTAGCTTTACTTAAAACTAGGTACATTAAACTTTATAATTTTTTTTACAGATTATTTCTTTCACAAATACAAATAAAGTTATAAATTTTTTAAGGTGCACACGAGCTTTATGGACACCCTGTATATAAATCCGAAAAACATATCGTTCTGTGCAGACATTTTTAATATCACGAGAAGAGTAGGGTGTGATCTAGATTTAATTTTGATGTAACTCATCAAATGGGACTTTATTATGTGGACGAACATTAGCTTCTGTGGTTTTTCAGTCGGCAGTGATACGTTTACCTAGTGAGCTTGTATACTGTGAGGCAGTTGTAGTCAAAACTTTTTTTTCTTAATATCTCGTACTTCCTCCAGCTTGTCAACAACTTTTCAGTCCAATTCGTATTCCATATGATTTCCAAAAGCTACAACTGCTGTTGAAATACAACAGACAGGATTAAAGAGAACGTGAAAATCTTCTGTTGAGGAGAATTCGCAAAATGAACACTGCTCACGATTCGGAAGAGTGAAAAAGGTGCATACTAAGTGCTAAGCTTTAGAGTGGACAAAGGCGATTTTTTCGTTACTAATTATTAGTAGTATATTTTCTGGACATAACTTGTAGTGCCAAGATCAATAATGATAACTCATAGTGGCAACACCAGTTGAATTTTCCAAATGTCCAGCTAGAAATGATTGATTGAATAAGGAAGGAACTCTGTTAGACGAAACCTGGTGGGTACTAAAAAGCTAAGAGAGAGTGGAAAGATATTTGAAAAGGCCAGACATCGTGGGATGCTGTCACTATATTGGCGTACATCTCCGGTCTTTCCTCATTTTGTTTTTCTTCCGTCTTCTTATTTTCTTTCCACTTATTGTCAAGACTAAAGACTAATGATGAAGAAGAAGGGAGAAAAAAATTGTGAAGGAGGGGAAGAATTGTGAAGAAGACGTAGGAGAAAAATCGTGAAGATGAAGAATTGTGAAGAAGAAGAAGGAGAATTGTGAAAAAGAAGGAGAATTGTTCAGAAGAAATGTAACGAGGAAGGAGAATCAGAATTGAGAAGACGAAGAAGAATTGTGACGAAGTTAAGAATTGTGAATAAGGAGAAGAAAAAGAATTGTGAAGACGAAGAAGTATTGTGACGAAGAAGAATTGTTAAAAGAAGAAGAAGAGTAAGGAAGATGAAGAATTTTGAAGAAGAAGGAGAAGAATTGTGAAGAAGGAAAAGAAGAATTGTGATGAAGAGGAAGAAAAACAATTGTGAAGAAGAAGAAACATCGTGAAGAAGGGAGACTTGTAAAGAAGGAGAATTGGGAAGAAGAAGAAGAATTGCGAAGGAGAAGAAGAAAAATTGTGAAGATGATGATGAATAATTGTGAAAAAGAAGAATAGCGAAGAAGGAGAAGAAGAAGGATCACGAAAAAGGAAAAGAAGAGAATTCTGAAGAAGAAGAAGAAGAAGAAGAAGAAGAAGAATTGGGAAGAAGGACAAAAAGAATTGTGAATAAGGAAAAGAAGAAAAAGAATTGTGAAGAAAAAGAATTGTGAAGAAGAAGAAGTAGAAGAATTGAAAAGAATAGTGAAGAATGAGAAGAAATATTGTGAAGAAGAAAAAGAGGAAGAATTGTGAAGAAGAACAAGAAGAATGGTGAAGAAGGAAAAGAAGAAGAAGAATTGTGAAGAAGAACAAGAATTGTGAAGAAGAAGAAATATCGTATAGAAGAAAAAGAGGGAGAATTGTGAAGAAGAAGAAGAATTGTGAAGAAAAAGAATTGTGAAGAAGAAGAAGTAGACGAATTGGAGAAGAATAGTGAAGAATGAGAAGAAATATTGTGAAAAAGAAAAAGAGGAATTGAGAAGAAGAAGAAGAAGAAGAAGAAGAAGAAGTAAAAAGGAGGAAGAATTGTGAAGGAGGATAAGAATTGTGAAGAAGCAGAAGAAGAAAAAGAATTGTGAAGAAGAAGTAAAGACGAAGAAGAACTGTGAAGAAGGAGAATTGTGAAGAAGATGAAAAGAAAAAGCAGAAGAAGAATTGTGAAGAAGGAGAAGACAAAGAAGGTACAACTCCTTATACTGAAGAGGGTATCAACCCAATGCTTTGTAATAAATATTTTCTTCTTTTCTACTTCGGCTTCCTTTTCCTTCTCTTCTACGTTTGTATTTCTTTAATTCTTTTTTTGTTTTTGTTTTCAACGTTCATTTTATTCTCTTTTCTTCTTCTTCTTCTTCTTCTTCTTCCTTCTTCTTCTTCTTCTTCTTCGTAATTATTTTTCAACATTTTTTTTTTTATAATTTTTTCTTCTTGTTGAAAATTTTAAACACTTCCTAAATTTTTTGATTTCTTAAAAAGAAATAATCGTTCCAATTGCCAAAGTTATAATATTATTCTGAAAAAACCGTTTATAGGGAGCAATGGTTAACGATTACGGTTAGGGTTAGGGTTAGCAAATGTGTGTCCTACTAATGTATTTTCGTATCAGGTTAATGTAAATTCATTCCATTGGTCTACTTTGTGGTTAAAATAGTTTCTTATCAAACACAGGAATCGGTGGCGAAAGTTTCAGTCTTAGAACAAAACAGAGCTGTGGTTTAATAGGAGACTGAAAATTCCATAGATGGAGAGAGTAAGCAACAAGGAAATCTTTAAAAAATGGCAAAAGAAATACTGAAGATTTGAGTTTTGAGGAGCGTGGAACCATCTTTTAATTGTGGTTTCTAGGTTCACCCAATAATACATACTTATAGCAAAATAACCGATACATTTTATCTGTAGTTAAAAGTATGTAATTACGTTCAAAATATATTTAACTGAAGGCATAAAATTGTTTTCAGATTATTTAGATTTCGGCATTAAATAACCCATAGAGGTGTTGATGTGCCGCCAAACAAAACCAACCAACCAAGCAAAAAAAAAGCAACAAAAAAAAAAAAAACACCAACATAAAAGAAATTTCATAACATGAAACCATATAATATCCTATAATTTCTTAAATCAAACTATATTCAAAAATATAAATTCAACAAAACTCCAAAATAAAACATACATATCACCGCCACTTGGAATTGTCCACACAATCATGTATATGCACAAAAGGTGAGTAACACCTACCATGTATTCAATTGCGAAAGCAGAATAACATATCATATATTTATTACTTCAGAGCTCACAAGAAAATTACATTTCAGCATTAAATGACCCATGAAGATGTTGATATGCCGTTAAATAGACAAATCAATCAATCTTTAGAAATGAATGAGGAAAGAGTGCTTGGTAAACATTAACTATTACGGAGCATATTACGGTCCGGAGAGACAGGGGAAATAAGCGAGTCACTTAAATAACGACATTGTGTGACTGGATGACAGAAAGAGATGCAACGGTTTCATCCGTAAATGTAACGAACCAAACAGGAATTTCAAACGTCTGAAATAATTTTCACATACAAATACTGAATTACCTCCCTTAGATTGCTTTACATAACATCATGTTCTGTACGCACATTTTTTATGAGACTTGAAACATGTAAACTTTACCTCGTCTCATACTCTGAGTAAATATTTATTTCATATATAACTGAAAGAAATTGACCAATAAAACTTAGAATTTGCAAAACCATATGTATATTTAAAATAAAGAGAAATCGGACGTAGCCACTTTGGATACAAAAAGC